ACTTCCTGGAGATGCAAGGTCCAGACCTTCTCTCTGAAGATGCTCAGCACCTCTCTTGGAGAACCAGAGAGCTCAACAAGACAATGCCACATTGGAGGGAAACCAAAGAACAAAGCCACATAAAATCAAAGCCAGGCAAAGAACTCACCAGAGGAAGAATTCACAAAGCACTGAGAAAATGCAGTAGCCAAACGCTGAACAGCTGCCCTTCATTTTCCTGAATTCAGGACAGGATTGGGCAGTGCTCCAGGCAGACACAGACCATATGTCTCTGGGCTTATCTATAGTTCATCTAAACCATGAAATGTCTTCAAGTATTTTAACTTGTATATTTTTCTTAATGTATGCCAAATATCCTCTCTCACTGTGATAATAAATCTCACAAGTATAACAGTATATTGTATAATATATATTATATGTTACATATCATATAATGACAGCTTATTATAACAGTAGGTGTGGAGTGGGGCAGGTCTCATACTACCCAGAATGAAGAGAACTGAGTGGAAGCTAGAGACAGAGAACAGACAGGGAGGCATAAGGATATGAAAACATTTGAGGGGATAGAGGCAGAGTTCAGAGCTGATAAAAGCGAACCCTCTTTGGCTTCTATGGTGGATGCTCAGAGAATAAGAGAAAACCAAATAAGTGAATGGTAGCAGAGAGATAGTTGCCAAAGGCTTATGTGAATACTTTTGGCCACACCTTCCTCCAACACAGAAACAAAAAACCTTTGCACTTAAGCATAAGCAAAATCAATGAGGAAAAAAAAAACACTAAAAAGATATGAAATCCAAATGAAAAATATGAAGTTCATGAGATTATAGAATATAAAATGCAGGGGGACAGAGGCTTGCAGAGTACAAAAGGAAGGAATGGGGTGTACAGACACTTTGTTGGGGATTGAAGGTGTCCAGGCAGAGAGGTAAAGTGTGTTGTACGAAAGAGCAGACCTAGCTCAAGAAACAGCGGGCAGGACAGAGAGGTCAGAGACAGGGTGACAACACTGAGGATGTTTGATCTCATGGGAAAACAGTAAGAGCAAAAGAAGAGTATGAGGGGTAAAACTTTAAGAAGAAAACCACCCATGCGGGCAGATTGAAAAGAAATGTAAACTTCAAAAGGCAAACTCAAGAAATTGCTTACTTGGTGTGGTTGTTGGAGCAGTAGATGTTGGGGTAGGGGTGCTGCTTGTAACAGTGGCCGAGCTAGTGGAGACAACTGTGACTGTGGTGTAGGTACTCCTCTGTGTGCTGGGTGTTGTCCCAGAGATCGAGGTGGACAGAGCAGTGGTAGTAACAACCTCAGGAGTCACAGATGTAAAGGAGGCAGAAGTTGTTGCAGAACTGGAGTGACCAGGAATGGATACAGGTAAGGTGGTGTGAGAAGCACTTGTTGAAAGTGTGCTGCCTACAGAAGATGTTGGGGAAGTGTGGCCCCCGATGGAAGTTGCTGATATAGTGATATTGCCAGGAGAGGGTGTTGGGGATGTATGAGCCCCTGTGGAAGCTGGCACTGTGGAGGCACTGTCAGGAGGAGTTGGAGACGGTGTAGCCACTGTGGAAGAGGGAAGAGTGGTGGCACTTTCAGCAAAAGTTGGTGACACACTGGCTTCTGTAGAAGAAGGTAATGTGATAGCACTGTCAACAGAAGTTGGTGACATGCTGGCTTCTGGAGAAGAAGGCACTGTGGTGGCACCGTCAGTGGGAGTTGGAGAAGAACTTGGCTCTGTTGAGGAAGGCAGTGTGGTGGCATTCTCAGTGGGAGCTGGAGAGGAAGTGACCTCTGTAGAAGAAGGCACTGGGGTGGCACTGTGAGTGGGAGTTGGAGAGGAAGTGGCCTGTGTAGAAGGAGGAACTGGGGTGTCACTCTTAGTGGAAGTTGGAGAGGAACTGCTCTCTGTCGAAGAAGACACTGTGGTGGCACTATCAGTGGAAGCTGGAGATGAAGTGGCCTCTGTAGATGTAGGCATTGTGGTGGCACTGTGAGTGGGAGTTAGAGAGGAACTTAGCTGTGTTGAGGAAGGCAGTGTGGTGGCACTCTCTGTTGGAGTTGGAGAGGAACTGGACTCTGTCACAGAAGTCACTGTGGTGGCACTGTCGGTGGAAGTTGGAGATGAAGTGGCTGCTGTAGATATAGGCACGCTGGTGTCACTGTCAGTGGCAGTTGGAGAGAAACTGGCCTCCGTTGAGGAAGGCAATGTGGTGACGCTGTCAGTGGATGTTGGAGAGGAAGTGGCCTCTGTTGAAGAGGACACTGTGGTGGTTCTGTCACTAGATGTTGGAGAGGAACTGGCCTCTGATGAAGGAGCTGTTGCAGTGGCAGTTTCAGTGGTAGTTGGAGAGGAACTGGGATCTGTAGAAGTAGGCACTGGTGTGGCACTCTCAGTGGGGGTTGGAGAAGAACTGGATTCTGTCAAAGAAATCACTGTGGTGGCACTGCCAGTGGTAGTTGGAGAGGAACTGGGCTCTGTAGATGTAGGCACTGTGGTGGCACTCTCAATGTGGGTTGGAGAGGAAGTGGCTGCTGTAGAAGAAATGACTGTGGTGGCACTATCAGTGGGTGTTGGAGACGAACTGGCTTCTGTAGAGGAAGGCACTAAGGTAGCGCTGTCAGTGGAAGGTGGAGACGAACTGGCCTCTGAAGAGGAAGACTTTGTGGTGGCACCATCAGTGGAAGCTGGAGAGGAACTGGCCTCTGTAGAAATCGGGACAGTAGTGACACTGTCACTGGGAGTAAGAGAGGAACTGGGCTCTGTAGATGTAGGCACCATGGTGGCACTCTCAGTGGAAGTTGGAGAAGAACTGGACTCTGTCAAAGAAGTCACTGTGGTGGCACTGCCAGTGGGGATTGCGGAGGAAGTATCTTCTGTAGAAGAAATCACTGTAGTGGTACTCTCAGTGGATGTTGGAGACGAACTGGCTTCTGTAGAGGAAGGCACTGCGGTGACACTGTCAGTGGAAGTGGGAAAGGAACTGGGCTGTGAAAATGTAGGAACTGTGGTGGCACCGTTGGTGGAAGTTGGAGAGGAACTGGCCCCTGTTGATGAAGATCCTGTGATGGCACTGTCAGTGGGAGTAGGAGAGGAACTGGGCTCTGGAGAAGAGCTGGTCTCAGGAACTGGGGTAGGAGTAGGAGTAGGAAAGGAACTGGGCTCAGGAGAAGATGGAGAGGGACTGGTTCCTGTCAACAAAGACCTTGTGGTGGCACTGTCAGTGGGAGTTGAGGAGGAACTGGGCTCTGTAGATGTAGGCACAGGGGTGGCACTCTCAGTAAGGGTTGGAGAACTGGACTCTGTCAAAGAAGTCACTGTGGTAGCACTGCCAGTGGAGGTTGGAGAGTAAGTGGCCTCTGTAGAAGATATCACTGTGGTCGAACTCTCCGTGGATGTTGGAGACAAAATGGCTTCTGTAGAGGAAGGCACTGTGGCAGCGCTGTCAGTGGAAGATGGAGACGAACTGGCCTCTGAAGAAGACGTTGTGGTGGCACCGTCAGTGGATGTTGGAAAGGAAGTGGCCTCTGTAGAAGAAGACACTGTTGTGGCACTATCAGTCGAAGTTGAAGAGGAACTGGGCTCTGTAGACGTCGGCACGAGGGAGGCAGTCTCAGTGGGGGTTGGAGAGGAACTGGACTCTGTTGAAGAAGTCACTGTGCTAGCACTGTCAGTGGGAGTTGGAGAGGAACTGGTCTCTGTAGAAGAAACAACTGTGGTGGCACTCTCAGTGGATGATGGAGATGAACTGACTTCTGTAGAGGAAGGCACGGTGGTAGCACTGTCAGTGGAAGGTGGAGATGAACTGGCCTCTAACGAAGAAGACATTGTGGTGGCACCATCACTGGATGTTGGAGAGGAAGTGGCCTCTGTAGAAGAAGGCACTGTTGTGGCAATGTCAGTGGAAGTAGGAGAGGAACTGAGATCTGTAGATGTAGGCACTGTGGTGGCA